TGGGTTAAATCCCCAATACCATCGCAAAAAAAAAATAATAATAATAATAATTAATATGTTAGAGTCCATCAAATTTAAAATATATATGCTCTTCAATGAGGAAGCAAAGGTTGGAAATAAACACTCAGGACAAACATTACACATACCCTAGAAAGGACCTGTGCCAAGAATATGCAAAAAACTCTCAAACTCCAATAGAGAGAAGACCCCAAAAAACTGTTAAGAAATGAGGAAGGCGGGCTGGGGATTTAGCTCAGTGGTTTCGTCGCCTGCTGCACAAGCGCAAGGACCTGAGTTCAATCCCTGGTAGCAAAATAAAAGAATTCCTTTGTGCTGGGGATTTAGCCCAGTGGCACTGCACCTGCCTCACAAATGCAAGGTCCTGAGTTCGATCCCCAGTACCACAAAAAAAAAGGAAGAAATGAGGAAGGCAAAAGTTATTTTTCAAAGACACTACAAGAGAGGTACACAGGACAGATAAGCCCTGTGTATATGAACATGTTCAATATCATTAGTTATTCCAATAAATAAAAGAAGAGCTAGATGTGGTGATGCAAACCTGTAACCTCTGACAAGGATATATATAAAACAAATGGAACACACACACTATGGGCAGGAACACAGGCTGGTACAACCACTTTGGGTCACAGCTGGCCAAGTCCTAGAAAGTCAAACAGCTATTTCCACCTCTTCATACACCAACCATGACCAGCTAGGGCATTATCGAGAGATACAGTATCTATGCCTGGGCCAATCCAAAGAAGAAAAAGATGATGACAAAGAACAGCACCCACACAGTGATGAGCCACTCTCTCCACTAAATGCGGTTCTGGAGCCCTGTTGAATTCTCTCTGTCCAGGACAATACAGATTATGTAGCATGGTCAAAATAAAGAACACCTGAAATATTGGTCTCAGCCCTATCTTCTAAAAATCCTTCTGTCTATGAAACATTGATAAAAGGCCCAATTAAGAATACATTTCCTGGGAATTTATTGGGATGCTCTTCTAAGAATATACTAGACCTAACAGAAACATAATTAATAATCGTAGGCTTCTACACACACTTATGGTCTAAAAAATACAAATATATAATGCATGTGATCCAGGCTAACGTGGTCCAAATTGGGCATATGAGCAATTAACTGTTCCTTTGGAAAAACTGCAGGAGGGGGAAAAAAAAACTCCTTAGAGATAGCAACTAAATCAATCTCAACTCCCAGCTTGCTTCATTATTCTCTTGTCCTCAATATAATAAAAATTTTCCAGCATTTATACTCAACAGTTGGGGAGAAACTTCCTACATATAAACTATAAAGTAGTTAACTCTCCAAATCAATCCAGACAGATGCACTTTTCTATTAGTATAAACTATTAAGACTTCAACCCTAAAACGTGTTAACACCTAAGCAGAGGGTGGAATCTTACATATTACATGTATAATACAGAATTTTACAAAGTTTAAAGCACAGTAATAAATGAAGTCAATGACTAGCTGAGAGCATTTTAGTCACCTCTGGTGGTTTGGCATGGCTTGGCCTCTGTCCCCTCCCCCAGCCCCTCTTATTCTCATTGGTCCTGCCTCACTGACCTTCAGACACTCTTTCCAGCCCCTCACACTCCACCCAGGACACTCCCACCACCGGTCACAGTGGCTCAGGAAAGAAGTTCTTTCTAACAGCTCTGCACACACACATTCCCTCCCAAAAAATGGCTGGGTAAGAAGCACTTTTTCCACAGTACAGGGCTTACCTGGCACAGCAATCCTCTTGACATTTAAAAAATATTGAGTTTCTCCAAAGTACAAGCACTTAACCTGCTGCTGTGAGCCAGATACACTTGGGGGACTTGCCTTATTCTGCTTGCTGTCCGATGCCCACGCCACAGCAGCAGGCCTCTGCAGGTACATGGAGGTCCTGAATGCTGTTTTCTCCAGAACTGCACCCCTACCCCAGGAATGGTCAGAGCCCAACCTCACCCCAAAGCTTTGCCACAATATGAGGGCCCTACTGGTACCCAGCATCCTAGTAGCAGGCCTGAATTGCCTTCCAGGGTCCTACAGTACTACAGATGAAAAAAAGTTCCAGAGAGCTGGGCTTGGGAGGAGAAGCTGTTTCCCCAAAAATCCAACTCCATCTTTTCCAGACAAACTCTTTTCCACCTTGGGCTCTCAAGAAGCTGCATGGTGTCTGGGACAGCAGGTCCCAGGGACTCCCCTGCACACCAAACCACAACCGAGACCATTTACAACAGGAAAAAAAAAGTATTTCTCATTTTAAACAGCCAGCTTGTGATCCCTCTCTAGGTAGGAAACTGCCTTGTGAGCAAGTGGCAAAAACAATAACAATTGTAGGATTTTGTAGGAATATAGACCAAGGTGAGCTATTCATATTTCCACAATGGAGCCCAGGAACACAATAAACAGGCAGCTTAAGCAGCCTGCTTTGTGATGCCCACTGAAACTTTTCATACTGGATTTTTTTTTTACATCAGCTCACATATCTTTCCTCAGAAGTTTTATAACAGATGAGCTCACATCCCGTCCCTCAAGTACATGCTAGAGTTAAGGAATGTTGAGCCACTTTATCTCATAACAGTACACAGATTATTTCCCATATTCTCCAGAGAAGCCTTAAGCATTTAAGAGATAGTGATTTAAAAGGAACACAAGTGCTTGGGGTGTGGCTCAGTGATAGATCAATTGCTTTCCCAGTAAGCAGAAGACCCAGGCTTGACTCCCAGCACTGCAAAAACACATAGCAAAAACTTCTTTTGCAGGTATAGAATTTAGAGACCAAGTAGCTACTTCTTTTGCAGGTAATGAGTTTAGAGTTTAGAATGGAGACCAAGTAGCTCTAAACAAGTCTCCGTGTTCAACTACAGGTCAGGGACAAGGGAAAAGTGTATAAAGCCTATCTCTGAAGGGACTGGGAGGTTTACTGTTCAGAGGAAAGCTGACAGAAAAACTAGACATACCAACTTTAGAAACAGTCAAAGACGGAGCTGGGGATTTAGCTTAGTGGTTCCGCCACCTGCCTCGAAAGCGGAAGGTCCTGAGTTCGATCCCCGGTGTCCAAAAAAACAGACAAGAAAAATAGTCAAAGACTAGAAGACACTAACAATGCACATCATCCTCAGAATCCTCTCTGGCACTGGCTAAATCATGCCCACAAGGCACATTGGCCAGAGTATGTAAATTTCAAAGCCATTCCTCCTGGACCAGGGCTGTGCTCCACCCGGAAATGAGGTGAACAAACACAAGTTCAAGACACTGTGATGCTAACCCAATGCACCAGTGAGGGCCTCTGAATCAGTCAGTGTCAGTCTGCCCTCAAGGCCAACTTGAACCTTAATTATTATGAAATGAATTCCAATTAGCTTCAACACCAGAAGCCCAGCTGTGCCAATTTTTTATGGATGTCGTTGGTCATGGCGCTTTTTTCCAAAACTTCCTGCTCTAAATGCTTCTCAGGCTGACCTTGTTTAAATTGCTGCCCTTCCTCCATATCATGAAGTTACCAGAGCAACAATACTCTTGAGGCAGCTGACAGGTCTGTAAACTACAGTGCACCAAACTCCTCCTCCTGCCACCCACTCCATTCCAAAAAAGGGAAAAGAGCCAGGCATGGTGGTGCAGGCCTGTAATCCCAGCACTCAGGAGGCGGAGGTAAGAGGATCACCATGAGTTTGAGGCCAGCCTGGGCCACATTGTGAGTTCAAGTCCAGCCAGAACTATTCAGTGAGTCCTTGTCTATTTAAAAAAAAAAAGGAGGGGGAGAGGGGGAGAGGGAGGGGAGAAGGAGAAGGAGAGGGAGAAGGACAAAAGGAGGAGGAGGAGAAAAGAAAAAGTACAGAATATGGCTGGGCCTTTCCAAAGAGTTTCTACTCAAGTCAGCATCAATCTCCCTAGAACAATAATTTCTGCAAATTTTGAACTCATGGTGCTAATAAACTATCTCTGATACAAGGGGAAAACAAGCATCCCATAAGCCCTACCACAGCTCAAAATAGGATCAAGTTCATTTTGAAAGTTCCTTGCAAAGTGCAACAGGGGAAACTCATGGCCTGTTCAGAACTCATCCCATTCCCTTGTTAACAAAGTTTTAAAAATATTTAAAGCTGGGTTTCCTATTATCCTAAACAGTCCAGAGAAGGTGAGTCAAAAAGTCCTGGACACGGAAGTTCCCCGGCCTGCGACTCTTGGTCCTTGTCAAACACCAACCAACTTCCATGGGACCAGTGATTACACAATCGAGGTTCCCAGAGCAGAAGACTCCACTAGAATAATCCACTCGAGACAATGACATCATGTGGCCACTAGACAGGAAGTTGGCTAGAAGTGAAGGGTAAAGTCTAGAAAGCCAATACAAGATAACCACCATCCAGACCCCCAACCGAGAGAAGGAAACAAAAATCACCTACTGTTGAAAATCTACTTTAAAGAAAAAAGTGGAAACCGACGGCGGAGGAAATCTTTTAGCAAACGAAACCAGCACACCCAACTCCCAGGCCATTCTCGTGGGCTCCGACCCACTGGTGAATCTGTCCACACTCAGGGGCCTCGCCAGAGCTCCGTCAGTTGGACTCAGATGAAACGTGCAGTAGAACAAAAGCAAAGCTGAATACCTGCCTCCTGCAACTTCCCAGCCGCACCACTGAGAGAAGGGCACTGGGGGTGAGGATGCCCGCAGTGTCCCGGTTCACACGGGTCTGGAGGCCGGCCCTCGCACACAAAGACCCCCCTGACTTTAGTGACAGCCACAAGTGGCCGAGCACAAGAATTCGCAGGCCAGCGCCCCCCACCCACGGCGTACAGGACCCTGAGGTGCCTCCTGGGCCACCACACAGGCAACTTTCTCTCGAGGGCGGGGCGAGCCCCAGAGTGGACGAGGGGCGGCCGCAGACCCAGTCCCTCCACGAACGCTACCGCCCCCCCACACCCGGCCCCGCCGAATGCCCCGAACCCCAGGAGCAGAGCCGGCGCCCCGGCGGGCCACCCACCTACACAGCTCGGTGAACTCCGAGGCCTGGGCCTGCGCTGTCCCCGGGGCCGCCGCGAGCAGCAGAAGCTGCAGCACCAGCAGTGAGCGCGGCTGGCCGCCGGCGGGTGCGGGCCCCAGGTGGGCTCCCCGACCGGCGGCGGCCCCCATTGCTCCGACCCAGGCTGCGCGGCGGGCGCCGGACTGGAAGCGGGCGGGGACTGGGGGCGGGCAGCTGCTCGGGACCGCGCCCGGGACGGGGTCTGAGGTGGAGTCCGAGAGGCGCGAGGCCAGAGGGAGCAGAGAAGAGGCAGCGCGGTTTGGTTGGGCTCGACTGCAGCCCGGAGCCTCGTCACGTGACCACCTCTGGTCCCACCCCCGCCCCACCCCCGCTCACGTGACTCCCTTGTTCAGGTGATCTCGGTGCGCCCGGCTCCGCCCAGGTCCGGGTCACATGAGGAATGCCCTGGCGGGACGCGAAGCGGCGCAGGCGAGACTTGGACGTCAGGTATCCTTCAAGGCCTGTGCTCTCCTGCCGGCCGCACACCCCGACCTCAGTTTCCTCTTCTACCGCGCCTAACTGCAGCGTGAGCAACCGTGCCCAGCCACGATTAGCAAGGTGGAGTAGAAAAGGGATTTTAGATCAAACTGCCAGGGCGGAAACTGTCTTAGCACAGCCGCGTCGGTGCGGATACGTGCGAGGTAAGAACACGGTTTTCATGAGCCCCACATAGAGGTTTTCAACCTGGGCCCTGTGGGACGTGATTTCCTAAGCATAGGCTTCCGGCAGCACATGTAAAGAAAGCAACGTGAACATGGTTAGGAGTGTGACTTTCCAGCAAGCGTCACCCAACAAAGCTTCATTAATTCTACTCACGTATTGGGTTGACCCCATACTGTGTGACTGATTGTAAGCCAGGCACAGTATAAGTATAAGAGGATAACTGAAAAGACTCCCTCTCAAAAACTTACTTTCTTTGGAGCAAATAAAGACAGAAGGCTGGTGGTATAGCTCAGTGGTAGAGCACTTGCCTAGTATATAGGAGGCCAAGTTCATCCACAGCAGTGCAAAAATTTAAAAATCACTATGACAGCTAATCTTTTTAATGCTTAGTCCACACCCGATACTGCAATGAACACTTCAACAGAAATCTTCACAAACCTATGAGGTGGGAACCTCGTTATTGATGAGGAACTGAGGACATTCTGAGATGTGGCAAAACTGGTATTTAAGTATTTTCAAATCATCAGATATGCGGTAGTACTGGCACAGGTGATCAGGTACCCAGTAGTGTTCTGGGACTTTCAGTTGACTTATGTAATCCTAGTAATCCTTTAAAAGAAGTTCATTTATTTCACCCATTTACACATAAGGAAACAGACATGGAGGAATTAAGTAACTAGGTAGTCATGCAGCTAATAAATGAAAGTCGGGTTTTCAGACAGTCCCAGAGCCTGTGATATAGCTGATGTGCTATCCTGAAAGGGTTATACAGCTCTAGGTTCAGGGATGTAGCTCAGTGGTACCCGCGCCTGCCTGGAAAGCACAAGGTCCTGAGTTCAAATCCCAGTACAGGGGGAGGTGGGGGGAAGGGAGCATTATACAGCTCTAATGACTCCAGGTGAGAGCCCAGATGTCAACTGCAGATATCAATCAAGAAAGGGTTCATAGTTTGCTAATAATCCAGAGTTCTAATTGTTACAGGCAAGGATCATTACTGATACTATCACATAAAAAGTTGTTGTGAACAAGAACATTAACTTTGTTTGAAACTATTGCCCCCAAAGTATATTTCTCTAATAAAGGAAAAATGTATCTTCACAGTGAAAAGATCTGACAGAACCACCTCAATCAAGTGATTAAAAGTAGTGTCACCAAGCCAGGTGTGGTGGCATACACCTGTAATCCCAGCACTTGAGAGGCTGAGGCAGGAGGACCAATAGTTCAAGGCCAGTCTGTATTACATAGTTCAAGGTCAGGCTGAACTACATAAGGAGACCCTGTCTCAAATAATAAATTATATCAACAATTTTTTGAAAAACTGATGTTTCTGCTTCTTAAAGTGATGAAATCAAAAATATTTCTAGGGCTGGGGCTGTAGGTCAATGGTTGAGAGCTTGCTGAGCATGCACAATGCCAATTCACAGAACCCATCCCAACCTAGTGAGTGAGCTCTCTGGAGATGAGTCCAGGAGGGCATTTTGTTTGTCTTTTGCTTTATTTTCTATGGTGGTGCTTGTGATTGAACCTGGGGTCTTGCACATGCTAATTACACACTCTACCACTGACCTACACACCTGGACCCAGGAAATTGTTTTAACAAACTCTACACAAGTCTCTTAAGTACATGAAAGTTTGAGAAACACTGTCCTAAATTAAAGGACTCTAAAGAAGCATGACAAAATTTAATGTGCGATCCTTAGTTGCAGCTGGCAACCCACAAAAGGAAAGTATAAGGGACATCCGTGGACAATTGGGAAAAATTTAATATACAGTAAATCGTAGATTAGAAACTCTAAAGCCAAATGGTGTATGGAATAATTCTGTATTTCATTTAAATTTTAAAGCAAATCTTTGAGGAAACAGAAACCTAGAGATGTTAGCCAAAGACCCTCTGTTATGGGTTGAACTGTGTCAGAAAGATATCTTGTAGCCCTAACTCCCAGTGCTTCAGATTGTGATCTTATTTGAAAGTAGGGCCATTGCCAATGGATTAGTTAAAATGAGCACACTAGGCATGGTAGGCACACCTGTAATCCCAGCGCTTGGGAGGCTGAGGCAGGAGGAACGCTTTGAGTTCCAGGCCAAGCTGGGCTACGTAGGTAGTGAGCTCAAGGCCAGCCTAATCTACAAAGGGAGACCCTGTCTCAAAAAACAATAACAAAAAAGATAAGCTCATACAAGAGTAGAGTGGGCTCTTAATCTACTAAGACTAACAAAGTTCTATTGTTATTATTCCTGTTTTTTGTTTGTTTTTGTGGTACTGGGAATTGATACCAGGGCTGCATCCTCATCCCCTTTAATTTTTTTTTTCCTTTAATTCTTTTATTGGTACATTTTAGGTAAACAATACATTTACCTTTATCATTGGGTGTTTGTACCTGTACATGATGTATCTTGGTTCTTATTTTTTTCCCCATTACCTGTGTGCCCTTCACCCCCTCCACCCTTCCCCATTTACATAGACTTTGTTTCCATTTTTTTCTCTTCTCATAATTTTTCCTTTCCCTCCTTTCCTTTCCCTTTTCCCTCCCACCACCCCACTCCTTGACCTTTTCTTCCTATTTCAAATTATCAATTATTTGTTTTAATCATCTTATTTACACTTTCAGTTTCTCACACTAGAGAAACTATTCGATATTAATTTTTATTTTGAGGTACAGTCTCATTAAATTGTTCAGGCTGGCCTCGAACTTGTGATCCTCCTGCCTCAGCCTCCTGTGTTGCTGAGATTACAACAGTGTGCCACCATACCCAACAAAACTGGAGGCAGAGACACACAACGAGAACACAATACAGACATGTGAAGATGGAGAAGTGATGCATCTTCAGGCCAAAGGATCCGTAGGATCATTGGCAACACCAGGAGCTAGGGGAGAGGCCTGGAAAAGATGATCCTCTGAGGGAGTGTGGCTGCCCATACTTTGATTTTGGACTTAGAGCCTCCAGAACTCTGAGAGAATACATTTCTGTACTCTTATTCGCTCAGTGGCACTTGTTTATGGCAGCCCTAGTCACAGATGCACTCCACAGCTAATCGGAGAGGTCCAAAGGTGGAACCCAGATGCTACCTCACCTCCACCACTATGAAAGCTCAGTCTTCCTGCACCTGACATTGGCTTTGGCCTGACTCTAGAAACGTGAATGACAGAGCAAGGAAAGAAACGGGCTGTTGCTGAGGATGTCCCTGTGTGGTGTCAGAGCAGAGGCAGGAGACGTTAATGGCTGCCCCTTGAGAATACAAACCACAAGCTGTCAAACTGATGGTGTGCACATATCTCTGAACCACAGACAAAAGCTTACAAAACATCCAGGAAGCTCCTGATTTTGCCCAAAGGCCCCCAAAGCACATTGTTATTCCTTTTGAGTGTTCCTTGATTCTAAGATGATAAATGGTTTACCAAAAAAATTATATAGTAGATGATTTGTATCAGTGTTAAGTGTCTTGGATGAGATAATGGTAATGTAATCAAATAGGAGAAGGTTCTTGCTGCTACATGCTGAATATGAAATGTCATAATGTCAGCTTCCAAATGATGCGGGGAAATATATGTAGAGATGCAAAGCAGAGGTTAAAAATATTAGCAATCACAAATGTAGGTGAATTATATCAATTATGCTATTCTTTCAGCTTTTCTGTGGGTTTGACATTTTCAAAGAACAAGAAATTGGAAAAAAATGTTATTATAGGAGTGAGAGCTTTGGAGGTGAGTCTGGGAAAATAGGTTGGGGAAATACACAGAAAGGACATTGCAGGCAAGAACAATAAGTGCAAAGTCATGAATTGAAAAATACAGAAGCTGTGTGTCCTATACAAGATACTTGGCTTAAGTAGAAGTCACATGGGAGTAGAAAGAAGTGTTTTTGGCCAAATATAGTGCTAAATCCAGGGCTTTTAAAATATAATCCTTAAGGAGCTCACAGTTTAGATAGTTGGTGTTTTTTTTTGGGGGGGGGGGTTGAGACAAGGTCTCACTATGTAGTTCAAGGTGTCCTTGAACTCACTATGTAGCCCAAACTGGCCTCCCACTTGTGGTAATCCTCCTTCCTCAGCCTCCCAAGTGCTGGGATCATAGCCCCGAACTACCACACTCAGATAGTTGATTTTAATGTAGATTGGGGGAAATTTATAGCTCCTACAGGATCTTAAATACTTACCTAATAAAATTAGATATAATTGGATATGAAATGGGGACCCATAACAGGTGACACGGTGATACATGTTAGAAGCTCACTTTCTGTTAGGAACTCTTTCTGTTGCATTTCATTTACTGTTCATAGCAACCCAGTGAGATAGGTCACTTTATTATCCTCATTTAAAAAGTGTGAAATTCAGGCATGAAGAAATTAAATACCTTGCCCAAGGTCTTGCCATTACAAAGGACACAGCTTGGAAGTGAACTCTCTGCTCTAGGACTCATACACCGTCTCTTCCGTGGGATATCCATGCCTGAGATAGATGGTCACAGTGACACCTCGGAAGATCCACTGGTTGCAGGATGGACCAAAAGCTGCTTACTTAAACAGATTAGAATAAAGGTGACAGAACAGACAGCAGACAGCCTTCTTTCTCCAAGAACACCCACCCAGTTTGTGATTAGTCATGCCTGGCTGGGATAAGATCCT